CCCCAAATGGTACCCCTAATTTTGGGAAAGCCTAATCCCTATAATCCCCTATATAATCCCAGTTTCCATTTCATTTTCCATTTTCTTTTCCATTTGATTCTCCATTATAGTAGGTACCCCTAAATTTGGGAAACCCCATTTGGGGCTTGGGCAGTATCAGGGCTTAGGATGCAGTTAGGGTTTAGGGTTTAGGGTTTAGGGTTTAGGGCTTCAGGCCACAACCGGACTGGAAGTAGCCTCTGAGGGCTCCAACTCTCAGAGTCCTACAACTGAAGGAACCTGAAGTACAGCTGTGCAGAGCTCTGGGGTTTAGGCTTTAGGGTTTGGGGTTTAGGGTTTAGGGTTTAGGGTCTAGGGTTTAGGGTTTAGGGTTTGGGGTTTAAGGTTCAGGGGAGGCAGACACAGAAATGTCTGACGGGCTCCTGAAGTCTGGGACCCCTTCAAGGGGATCCCACTGAAGCGCTCTGCACATTAGGCTTCTTGTAGGAGGACCCCCCACCCTGTAATAGTGGTATAATAGGAATATAAAAGGATCCTAATATAATCTCCACTATCCCTTATAGTCACTATGACAGGGTGGGGGGTCCACCTAAGGCTTCTTCCTTGTAGCCTGCCAAGACCAACTCAGCAAAACTGCTTCACAGGAAGTACGGATTCCCAAGCAAAGAAGACTCTGACTGAACAACACCCAAGGCCGAAATCTTAGGCTTGTAGATCCTACATTCTAAAAGTGCTCGGCCAAAACCGCTTGAAACCTGTGCAACAGACTTGCAGACTGTATGCTGACAGTCGGAATTTGAGCATCACATCTATCCACACCAGCAATGTAGATAGAGTAGCTACTCTCATGCCTCCATCTATAACTTCTATATAATCCCAGCTTCCATCTCATTTTCCATTTTCTTTTCCATTTGATTCTCCATTATTGGGTACCATAGTATCCTCCAATAAAATACTATATAAGACCTTGGCCCCTAAACCCTAAACCCTAAACCCCTGACCCTAAACCCTAAACCCTAAAGCCACTAAAGCCACTGTTGCGGAGGCCTGCCGCAGCTGTAGGCACCCAATGGATGCCCACGCCAAGGATTAGGAAGAGGGTGGTCATGCCCACACCAATGCAGCCTGGCTTTGGGTTTAGGGGTTTAGGGTTTAGGGTTTGCTTAAGGGGTTCATGGGTTTAGGGTTAGGGGTTCATGGACGTTTGTTGCAGAAGCTCCATAAGGCCTTGGAGATTCTGGTCAACCACAGATTATGATTGAAAAATTGTGTCCAACTGAAGTTCGGCAAAGCTGGCATGCAGCAGAAGTCGCCGGAGCTATTCACGTCATCCAGTTACAAAAAGCGAGAGGGAAGAACGTTGAGATTCATGGTAAATGACACTGTGGGAATTCTGATCTAGCGCAGATGAGAGATAGATCTCCAACCCAGGAACCGGCCAAGAGCTCCCCCTCAACCCCTCAACCCTTAAATCCCTAAACCATTAATCCTGTGGCTTCAGCGCCTACCATGCATCCTCGCGTCTCGCCCAGGTATTTCAGGGCCGCCTGCGCAGCTGGCTTGGGCTCTGAGATCTGTGACGTGGAATCCAGATCCTGGAGTTAACGGTTTCGGGCCTACACTAATGGATCCCCAAGTCATTACAGTGGCTTGTCAGTTCCGTGAGTCCTCCTAACGTGGAGCTTTCTAAGGGGTGGGGGGGGGGGTGGCTATAGCCCACCGACACAACCGCTAGCGTAGTCAAACAAAACACGCATAGGAACCCAAGCATCACAAAAATCGCATGCCGTGTTCTTCGCAGGCTCCAAATCATTGTAAGTTGTTCAAGTAGCTGTTCCCACTTGCTCCAGACATATCCTACCAACTCAGAAACAGAAGTTTCTCTATGCCAAGCACACGGACCCGTGGGAACGTCATCCTTCTCCCTGTTCCCCAGTCTCCCTCTTCCCAGGCTGCTCACTAAACAAATACAGGGTTTAGGGTTTAGGGTATGGTACCCAATATTACCCCAAAAATGGAGAATCAAATGGAAAAGAAAATGGAAAATGAAAAGGAAACTTGGATTATATAGAGGTTATTTGTGTAGCAATTTATTTCAGAACGTAATTGAATAGACAGTCAGCAGACAATGGCCTTACCTTTTTTGTAAAAGAAAATGGAAACTACTATATTACAATGGGGTATATATCTGTATATATATATATGTAGTGAATATCTGGGATTTTCCAAATTTTTGGAAACCCTCGTATGCAGCCTTCAAGGAAGACAGCTTATGTTTCACTCCCGGTGTCCCAGCAATCTCGAGGTGCGCACCGGCAGCAGCGGGGTTAGGACCTGAGTCGCGCAAACTGTAGTAAGTGTAGTAGTTTTCATAAACAATGAGAAACAGTCTGTATCGAAAAAGTGTTGACCTTATGGTTGGAGAGGTCCAGCAGCAACAAGCACAGCTGTTGTTGTTAGGGATTATGACACACGCGGGCAAACTCCGTGCAATGGTGTGCTTTGCAAAAAATGCCCACACAGCAGCAAAAGCGAAAGCTGCTCGAACCGACTTCCCAAAAGACCCCACAGGAGTCAGGCTTCAAAAAGGAACAGAAATGTCAGAGATTAAATGTAGGTAGGGAACCGAAGAAGTTTAGGTCACATGTCACATGACCCTCTTCTTCCGGGCTCCCCAGCCAACGCTGAAATGCTGGTCACAAGCAAAAGATCGGACATGTCGCCTCAGAACGCAGGTGCGTTTACTGGTCATTGGATCCCAACGGTTGGCTGCGTGGTGTGGGTTAGTCGCGGGCCACCATTGCTTTTGCATCTTTGCGCAGCCTATCTTGCGCAGAACAAGTGCAGTTTGGCTGAGCATGCTGAGGCCACGACTTTGGGTAAAGCCAAAATAATCCTTGAAGAAGACCACCTGGCATGATGCCAGCGCAGCTAATTCAATCCGAATGAGTGGCGCAAACTCTGCACTGGTCAAAAATGTCCTTCAAACTACACGCCAGAGCCCCTTCTCCATGCTCGGGGCTTCCGCCTCCGGACCCTCAGTGATTCCCAAGCTGAACGTGAACACGAAGGAGCCCAGCAGCCTCAGTGGTTCTTTGCCGTCTGGACAGTTCTATGAGCCATAGTCTACCCCTTGGGGTAATATTAGGGTTATATTGGGATAATGGAAAAGCGAAGACTACTAACATGTTGCAGCTCTCTCATGCGAACAATCAAGAAATTGCCTGCCCTACTTGTAGTGCCGAAAACGCATGCCGCGCATTAGAGGTAATGGAAAAGAAAATGGAAACTACTTTAATATACCATAATGTACTATTATATATTGCAAATATATCACATTATAATGTAGTTTATGGATTTAGGGTTTAGGGTTCAAAGTCACCCTGAGACACCCTGAGCCCTTGAGGCCGGATCCTTTTGGGGAACGTTACCTTACGATGACTGGGAAACCGGAGCGCTGTAATCCTTCTATAGTAGACCCCCTCAATTCTATAGGATTTAGGGTTTAGGGTTTATAGCCCCCCTTAAGTAGATAGCAAAAGGGGTATATGGGGATCTTATTATAGTATACCCAAAGCCATATTCGATCTACTTAAGGGGGACTATATGACCCTTCTGCACACTAAAACCCTCCAAGCTGAAGACATAATCCCTCAAACGGCCTTCTAATCATTTTAACCAGTTCTCAGATCCAATTGCCAGAGCCCCCGAGCCCTAAATCCATTAATATTCCCAATATTGCTGTCACTATGGCCCTACACCCTAGACCCTTGATGCATGCAACCCCGAACCCCGAGAGGCCCCTGCAGAATGCCTGTCTCTCTGCCAGTCATCAACCTTCGGGCAGCTGTCTCAGATTGTCAGTTTCCGAAAATCAGGACCCTAGGGCATGGGGATCGCAATGTTACAAGGTTATTACAGGGTTCCACATTCGGCTTCCCTTGCTCTCTTATTCTACGGTCAGAGATGCCATTCTTAATGAATCCTTGTACTGCTTTCGGTACGACTCTCTCTTGTGATGACTATTTTGGCTGTCTCGTGATCCTCACGTCTACGTTGGTTATGTCAATGATGAATGGATCCAGGCATTTGGCCTCAAAGGTTGCGCATTTAACGTTTAGATGCAAAATCGTGGTGGTGGGCTCACGAAGGGGTACATGTGAACCCTATTGAACCCTATCAAGTCGGCCTGGGACACAAAAGTATAGGTCTGTTAACATCTGACAGATTTAGATTGGCATGCAGACCTCCCATGCCATTTTCTGACAATTTCCCGCCCTCGCGCTCCCTTATTCGCCAGGAAGAGCTCTGAGAGCCAAGGCCATGGGCATTTATTGAAGCAGAAGGCTTATCATGATAATCCTTGTGGTGGAGGGGACATTTGTCTTTTTCTACCAACTCAAGCTTAGGGGCTTAGGTCAACCCAGATCTAACTACGAAGTCCTGGGCAGTTGTAAGCTCCTAAAGTACGTATAAGAAAGGCTACAAAAGGATGGGGTTTAGAACGAAGGGGCTGATTCAGTTACCCAGGCGACATGGAGATTACTATAGCAATCCCTTTGTAGATGCACACGCTAAGCCATGAAAACTGAACCGCTTGTAGCTCCCCAACCTCCACCAGCGAGAAGCTGCTTTGTTTCCTGGTGAAGCAAGCATTGGTGGCAGATTTGGCCAGGTCCAAGCCCATACATTGCGTATCCAACATTTTCTGTCAGGCAGGCGTCAGCCAGATGGCAACTCTCCAAGTTGGGATGTTTGCTTGGGGAATCCTAAGGGCCCTGCTAAGCGGTGAAGGTGACTGCAAATCATATCACTGTAGCGTCGCTGCTGTCGCCTCCAAACCCCAACTTCGCAACCTTGAACCACCTGAGCCATCTGTAGCCCCGGGTCCCACCAGCCTGTGTACAGCGTCGGAGAGAAGCACGTGGGTGAGACAGGCCTGACACGTCCCGGACGGCAAGCACCCAACAAGGCTTTGCAGTGCTCGACACTATGGGTAAGATGGATACACATGTATATTTATGTGTACATATACATATGTACGTCTAAACCGTTTGTCAGACCACTCAGGGCAACTGCCCGGAAGCCCTACAGCTTTGGGAACCGCGATTGGCCTTGCCGGCGAGCCCGTAGGTGAGTTCACCTCCCCAGGCTCCCGAGAAGACTGGGTTGCTGTTAAGGAACTTAGGATATGGGGTTTAGGGTTTAGGGTTAAGGGAATATCCCTCTATAATGGAGAATCAAATGGAAAAGAAAATGGAAAATGAAATGGAAACTGGGGGGAATATCGGAATTTAAGGAACTTAAATTAAGTTAC